GTAAGAGAGCATTCACATACTGATAATAAAAGTGAAATCATAGATTTGTTCTATGATTAAAAGGATAAACTATAATATTTGTTGCCTAATCTACAGTAAAGTTTCATTTTAGTCATTTATCTTTAAATTATTTCAATTTTGATCACTCGAGTTTCTAATTTGTTTTAGTTACATGACCAGTGTCTATTGACTCTACTCCATTAATAATTATAACAACATGATCCTATGTGACAAACAATTAAGATGATGTGCCTGTTAAATAAATATGTTGAATGCCGATATCATGTCCTTGCTATTTAATTGAAAAGGTTAAAAGAAGGCGCTGATAAGTTATCATTTTGTTGTTTCTCAAAATTTGTTGTCGTATGGTACATATTCTTCAAAAGCATTTTTAAGTTTACCAAACAATTAAAATAAATGCGAATGTTTGACAATCAGAAATTGGGTCTTAATTCCATTCAAACGGGACTTTAGAGATGCTATAAATTAAAAGACATGAATTCATAGAAGTGAACACACAATTGTCACTCCATATATTGACAATCACAATTTTTTTTTTCTTTTAAATTCCACTCCCCCCACCAAAAGAGACTCAAAAGCTGTCGACAATCTCGAAAGAAAATCACAATTTCCAGGAGGTGAAGTTCAACTTTTGAAAAGTTTGAAGACTAAATTGCACGCTTTGAAACTTAAAGCTGAGATTTTGAAATTTTTAGCATCAAAGTTGATGTTAGGAAGAACTAAATCATATTTAGATAAATCGTCCCTATGATAACAATAATCGTATTATTAAATCCACTTTATTACTTGTTTACAATATCACAGACTTGGGATAAAAAAATCATGCAACAAGCTTTTTGCTCCAAGGTCTATTCTTATTTTGATGTTCATTTATATATTTTCTAACTTTTGTTTTTTATTTTCTTTTATTTTCTTTTTTTTCCCCTCCATTTTTATTGTTGGACGAGGAATGAAAAGAAGCACGTGACTAATAACAACATGAGATGAGAGATAGTAATATTGATGACAACAATATGCTTGTGAGAGATGTCTTCGTCACGAGGCAATTTAATAGATGGGATATGACGCATTTTGTCGAAGTGGATAAGGGTGGCTTGCTAGTGAGATTATTTTTCTCACCGGTAGTTAGCAAGCATGACTTGCACTTGGAAGAATTATGGGAATCACCTTTATCGTCTTTTCAATATAGGGAGTGAACGAATCTAGAAAATTGTGTGACTATTCATTCTACTAAGAATTACATTTTATAGGCCACTCCAGATGGACTAAAGAATTTTGTCTAGGATGATCCACATGTGGAAAATAATGAAATCAACATATTTAGAG